GGTACACCTCAGGCTCCTCGCTGCCAGCCTCTATCTGGGAGGCTGGGGCAGCTGGGGGTGCTGTGCTTGCTCATTCCTTCCCCCTCACCTTGTAAACGTCAAAGTTATCGATGATGGCATCAAAGCAAGTGTAGAGATCGTTCAGAAGTGTCACAACCTGGACAGAGTAAAGGGTGCGTGTGGGGCTGGGGCATACGCTTGCCCCGAGCCCTAGGGGTGGGACTGCCAGGGTACGAGCCCCCCTGCCATCCCTACAGGAGAGGATGCCCCCCAAGCCCTGCTCTTACCTGCATGGGGGTGCTCTCTGCTGAGAGGGCAGTGAAGCCCACAATGTCGCTGAAGTAGATGGTGACACTGTCAAAAGCCTCAGCACGCACCGTCTCCCCACGCTTCAACTGCTCTGCCACGGAGCTGGTGAGGACATGGGGGGGATGGTGGTGGGCTCCCACTCCAAACCCCCAGTTTCCCTTGGGTTCCTTCCCCTACACCAGCATGGAGAGCCAGCATGCTTGCATGGCAGTGGGTGGATGCTGACCCAACACCAACCCCCAGCCCCACACAGCTCCCATCTCTCCCCCTCTCACTGTGGCAGAATCTGGTAGAGGAGGTTCTCTGCCTTGCGCTTCTCCTCCAGGTAGGCTTGGGTCCTCTCCTCCACCAGCTCCTCCAGGTTGTTGGCATATTGCTCCATGCGGGACAGCAGGTTGTCCAGGATGTTTTGTTGGCATACTGCTCCATGCGTGACAACAGGTTGTCCAGGATGCTGGTGCTGCCCTCCCTGCCAGGACACATGCAGCTGGCACCGCAGGAGGAAGAGATGCCCCCAAAACACCAACCCTCATGGCTGTCCCTGCTCCTGCTCAGGGCCACCTTCCCCCGCTTGCCAGCCACCCACTTGTTGAATCTACGGATGAAGATCTTGATCTGGCTGAAGTCGGGGCGCTCGGCTGGCTCCTGTGCCCAGCACCGCTCCATCAGCACCGCCAGCTCCTCGCTGTGCACCCCGATGTCGATGGAGGGGCGGAAGAAGGGCTTCTGGCTGTTACGCACCTTCTGCACGATCTCTGCCAGGACGGGTGGACAATGGTGAGCACTGGACCGGCCTACCAGAGGTGGGACCCCCCTGGACTTGCCCCCCACCCTCACCTTTGGGGCTCAGGTCCATGCCCTCAATGTAGAAGGGGCCGTTGCGCAGGGCGACCTCCTGCACGATGATGCCGAAGCTGTAGACGTCGGCTTTCTGCATGCCCGGGGTGGGCAGGCGCCCCTTCTGCAGCAGCTCCGGGGCTGTCCACAGCTTCTCTGGTGGGACATGGCCATGGAATGGTGAGGCAGGGCCACCCTGTCCCCTCGGTTCCCAGCAGTGGTCACTCACTTGCGTAGAGAGCGTGCGTGTCCTCGCCGTCGCAGGGCGAGCGGAAGCTGGCCGCCCCGTAGTCGGTGATCTTCAGCACGAAGCGGCTGTCCACCACGCAGTTGGATGACTTGAGGCTGCCGTGGTGGCCGATGATGCTGTTGTGCAGGAAGGCCATCCCCTAGGATAAATGGACCTAGTGAAGCTGGCATCCCCTAAGCACCTCCCCCACCCCTTTGTGCCCCTCACTTGGGTACCTTGACAATGTCGTTGATGAGCGAGTAGCGAAACATCCAGTCCAGGTTGATGCTCTCATTCTCCAGGACGTCCTGGGGGAGCACACTGAGTGGACCCCGGCAAGCACCCGGGGGATGGTGGCACCAGCCTCCACCTTGGTGGTGGACCACCACCAAGCACCCAGCTGCGGGGGTCTCCATGGCACCCATCCCCTCCCCTCCCCTGGTCTCTGACATCTACTTAGGGAGCTTTACTGAGTCCTGTAGGGCCTGGGGGGAAACCAGCATCTACAGCCTTATCCTCAACACCCAACCCAGCTCGGTCACCTGGAGTGTCTAAGTGTCACCCACTGCGCCCCCAAGACCACCTACCTGCAGGCTGCCTCGTGGGCAGTACTCAGTGACAATGCAGATGTTGGGGGGGTCAATGCATGCCCCGATGAACCGGGTGAGGTGGTTGAACTGGATGTCCCGCATCTGAAGATGGAAGAGGAACCCAGATGACATTGAGGTTGTGGGGAGACACCACTGCTCCCACCAGCCCCCTTCTTTGCCATGACTGGCCCCTGCACCCCCGGGCAGGGTGCCCACCCCACCTCAGCCCCAAAACCTACATGTTTCAGCTCAAAGAGCACCTGCCGCGTCAGCTCAATGCGCTTCTTGTTGATGTGCTTGATGGCCACCACGTTGCCCTGGGGTACCAGGGAAGGAGAAATCGTCAGTGCCCACTGGGCAGTTTTGGAGAGGGGAGGAAGGGTGCCAGCATCCCGTAGGGTGGAGGTGCATGCAAGGAGAAGCACCCCTACAGGGCTGGAGAGTGTCTCAAGGGGAGGGCTCAACTCCCCACCTGCCACACTAACCTTGAAGTGGCCGGTGTTGGCGAAGATCTGGTACTTGCCATGGGTGGTCATCAAGGAGCCATAGCTGGAGCCACGCTGTGGGGAAGGAGGGGGTTAGGGATGGGGACCCCAGGGTGGGGGGTGATACAGACCAACAGATCAGGGCAAGTACACCCAGCTGTGTGCAGCAGATGGTACAGGAAAAGCTCTGCAGGGTCAGGACAAGCTCTGCATGGTCTGTAGGGAGGGTGAGGCCTGTAGGGTGAGGTATTGAGTGCTGCGGGAGATGCAGGGGGGTGTAGGGGATGGATTAAGTGTGGCTGTGTAAGGGACGGAGGGTCGTGTTGTGGCTTGAGGAGGTTTGGTGCTCTGTAGGGGATTCAGAGCTGTGCAGGGGATGCATCAAGCGTGGCTCTGCAGGAGGGCCATGCAGGGGATGGATGTAGTGGGGCTGTGGCTCAACAAGGATCAACAAGGGAGGGGTGCTGTGCAGGAAGGGTGAGAGGAGCAGGGGCAGGAGCATGGCTGGGCAGCAGGACTGGCAGCTCTCACCAGCGACAGGGTGAGCCGGCTGCCTGCTGCCTTGTGGTACCGCTCAGGGCTCCCAAACTGCAGTTCATCCCAGCGGATCCTCCAGAGCATGCTGGCAAGCTCCTTCTCCAGCATCAGCTTCCTGAGGGACACACTGGGGTCAGGCCCCCATACCTGCCACCCTCCTGTCTGTCCTCAGGCAGAGACTCCCCTAGCCCTGACTGACCTGAAGACGAGGAAGCTAGAGATGCCAAACATGACGAAGGTGAGGCCAGTGCCCAAAGCCACAATGGCCAGCATGGAGAGGGGAGCTGCAATCAGGAAGGGGTGTCAACATGGTCTGGCTAGCCAGGGATACCAAGTTCCCATGCACCCACAAAGAAGGGTGCTGGGGAACGAGGGATGTGGGGACCTGGAACACCTACTTTTATCACAGGAGGGGTCATCCACATCAAAGACACAGGGTGGGTTGTCCAAGGGGGGAGCCCCCTTTACCCAGGGGATGGGTCGTCCCAGCCAGTGGATCTGCTTCTCCACACCTGAGTAGTGTCCCACCACCTACAACAGAGAGAACTGAGCCCCCCTCAACCCACAGCACCCCAGCGCCCAGCCACAGGAGGCTCCCAGTGCCAGCTCCCACCTCATACTGCCCACTCTCGGGGTCAGCCATGGCCCATAAGTTGAAATCAGTGTCACGATCATTGTTGCTGTCCATGCTCACCAGCCCCGTCACCCCTGTGGTAGAATAAAGACCCAGGTGGGATGGGGACTGGGTCCCACCACACCCGCAGCACCCCCACTCTACCCTTACCCTGGAACTTGCGGTCCCGCATCTTCTCGATGATGTGGGTGGCGTTTTTCTTGGAGCCGCCCTCCCGCAGGGTCTCGTTCAGCACCATGGCATACAGCAGCATCCCATCATAGAAACAGCCCGCCACCAGGTTCATCTGACGGGGGCACCTCAGCACATGTGTGGCCACGCGCATGGGGGCACCCCCGCCGCAAGAACCCCAGGCTGGGGGGTCACACACCCAGCCACAGGGGTGGCCCCTCTAGCATTTCCCATGGCTGTGTCCCACCCCCTGCACCGTGGTGACGTGCCACAGCTCCACGGGGAATGTCCCCACGGCCCAATCATGCAAGGTGACTTGCTCACCAGGGAGTAGTTGAGCTGCACCCCAAATTTCTGCTTGGCTCGCAAGATGAGCTGGGTTTGGAAATGCTGGTACTCAGGGTTTTGGGGCTCATAATAGGTAATCACCAGCACCATCTGCAACAAAGCACAGCACCCTGCTTCAGCCACCTGGGCCAGACTGGGGAGGTTGCCTTCCCCATCCCCAGACAGACGGGTGCAGCTTTACCTGGAAAGCCTCACGCAGCCCAGAGTCCTGGCCTGGGCTCTGTTGCCAGGGCTTGAAGGGGTCACGGGCAGAGTCACCCCGCAGGCTCTCCCCAAAGACATCCAGGTAGAAGAAGACATAGTCCCCGTTGGTCAGGTTCTCCCGCTGAGCCAGCTGCATGATCTGCCGCAGCATCTCGGGTGGCCCACAGAGATACACCACTGCCAGAGAGATGGGGGGGGCGGTCATGGGGACAGTGTCACCCCACCCTGGGGTACCCCACAGGGATACATCTCTGCTGGTGAGATGAGGGGAGACTCAGGGATGATGTCAGCCCAGGGCACCCTGCAGAGACACAGAACTGCCAGCAAGACACAGGGGTCAGGAGGACAATGTCGCCTCACCCTGGGGCACCCTGCTCAGGCATGGGGTGGGATGTTTTCCCTTGGGGTGATGGGGCAGACCAACCCTGGGGGTACCATCGGCAGCTGTGAGGTGGATGGAGTGGGTGGATGGGGGAGTGCTCAGCTCCCTGCCTTCTCGTGGCACATGCCCCACAGCCACCGAGCCCATTCAGCCCCACCACCCTCACTGGCCTTGACCCACTCTTGCCCCATCAGTCCCCCTGGGGCTGAAGGGGAAAAGGAGAACAGGGGGAAACCTTGCTCCAAAATATGATGCAGACACCCCATGCGCAG